CCCCCCCCCCCCACAGAACAGAGGGGACACTGGCTAGATTGTCCCTTTTAGGGAGCTTGTCCGCCGCAGTGTGAACTGAAGCAGGCTATCAAACGGGCGGCTGTTCACAGGATTGATGGAGCTGCAGGATTCCTAGTATCTGTGCTGGGCGTGGCTGCTAGTGACAGTGGAGCCTGAGGACACAAAGCACCGACTGCCAAGTGCTAAGTGGCATCTTGGAGCAGCGATCCCGGGGTAATCTGGAGTGAGATGCAGGCGGCCTCCAACGGCGGCATAATGCGCATAGCGTCTGCCTGACCCATTTGCTGTCGCTCTGTTGCTCAGCTGCTTTTGGGGCTGGCGGTGGGGGGAGGGGACTGACCCATAAGTTGGTTTAACCCCCAAGTGCCCTGTACCATGCTGGGGAGCTACAGAATCCCTGGGGCAGGAACGGGGGAACCCCCCCTGCTGTGAGGGGATGGGGGAGTCCTGGGGCAAAGGCCAACGGGCAGACTTCACCCTGTCCTGTTGGCTTCTCTGTACGTCGACCTGGGCTTGGCACAGGCGGCAGCGGCGTCTCGCGTATCCTGCAGGGGGTGCGTGCTGATTGTGGCATGCCGATGCCTCGCGCTGAGGGGGAGGCGCCAGTGCCCGTGCCCTCCCCCTTTGCAGAATGACTCCCTGTGCAGCGTGCGCCTTTTCTTCTGGCCGGCTCCTGGCAGCTCGGCTGAGCAGCCAGCCCACGGAAAGGAGGAGCGTTTTCCCCACAAAGGGGGAGCTGGGAGTGGCCATGTGGGGCCAGACTTGTATTTACCCCTAGAGGATTTACCTGGCGTCGTTCAGGTTCTTCCAGGTAGGGGGCTGGGAGTGGGGGCAGTGCAGGAGTGAGGGCAGAGGGTGGGGACTCAGAGTAGGGAGTGAGGGGTGCAGGAATTGGGTTGGGGGTGCAGGGTTTAGGGGGGTGCAGTCAGCAGCTGCTCCTGCGGGGCGGCGGAGGTCACGCTGCCTGGTCACCAGTATTGCTTTCTGGGGCTGGCCTAGGGCAGCAGGGGTGCACTTGCTTGCTGCCCCCCTGTGGTCAGTCTGACATATAAGCAGTCTGTGCTGCCAGACCCCTCCCTTTGCGTTTGATGAGAAACAGTCGCATTCCATGCACAACCAAACCTTGACCGTGCTTTGTTCCGATAAGAGGACGCTGTCTACCAAACTGTGTGGTCCTAGCTCTTACTGTTTAGGAGGAGTTTTTGAACAAAGGAAATCGAAAATCCAAATCTCGTGCTTCATTTGCATAATCTTTTACGGTCGCTTTTCCGGAAGAGATTTTTTCAGGAAAAAAAAAGCAGTCTAGATGGGGCTCTTTCAAAAAAAAAAACAAAAACAAAAAAAAACCACCAACACAACAACAACAAACCTTTTTCGAAATAACCCTGTAAACCTCATTTTTTCAGGAATAAGGATTCTTTTGAAAAAGCAAGTGTGTGTGTGGGTGTGTGTGTGTGTGTGTGTGTGTGTGTGTGTGTGTGTGTGTGTGTGTTTTAAAGAACCCCGTCAAGACTGGTTTTTTTCCTCAAAAAAATCTTTTCCGAAAAAGCGACCAGAAGAGATTATGCAAATGAAGCGTGAGATTTGTAAATCAGCTTCATTTGCATTTGAGTTCCCTCATTTGCATTCCTCTTTCAAAAAAGTACTCTAGACACATCCTGAGAGTAGATCCGGAGTCCTATGTGCGTTTGCTCACTCTCCTCCTTGGTGTGAGGAGCGTTGGGCCGGCTGTAGACATGCCAGAGGTGCAGCACACGACGGGCCCCTCTGTCTCAGGTGCGCCTTAGTACATGGTGTTCTCACCTCTGAGACAAACAGTTCCCTTAAGCTGTTACCAGTGTTCCCTGTAAGCTGAGCACTTGGGTGACCACCCATACAGATTCAAATGTTGCCCAGTGGATTAGCAGAGTACCCACAGCCGGCACCATGTGTTTCTATTGGTGGTGCACATCTGCACGTCTTGGTGCATGGAACAAAATTTGTTCTGCACATACATGGAAAAAAAGTAGAGGGAACATTGGCTGTTACTAGTGTAACGTCCTTAGGCCAGATCTATAGTAGCCCTGGAAGGTCAGCTTACGGTGTACAACTCCAGCTAGGTAAATAATGTAGCTGGAGTCGACATACGTTAAGCTGAGTTTGGTGCCATCTTCACAGTGGGAGGTCGATGGGAGCAAACACTCCCATTATCTTCCCTTAAGCCTGGCAACTGTGAGGAGTACCAGTGCTGACCGGGGGTGCCCTCAGCGTTTGATTTAGTGGGTCTTTACTAGGCCTGCTAAATTGAACGCCAGAAAATCAATCTCCAGCGCGTAAGTATAGACATGGCCTAAAATCTCCCACACTAACACCCACACCTTTGCAGGGACCTGCCTGTCCTCTCTCCAGAGCAGGGCTGGTACCTGATATGCTCATTTTAAGGGGCGGGGGGGCACGGACCGTGGCAGGCGAATGGAGGCGCTTTCTTCTTGCTCAAACGCCTTTCAGACTGAGTGTTCCAAGGTGCTCCCAAGCTGTGACCGGAGAAAAGGCCCCTGAGCTGAGTGATATCGATTAGACAGCAGCGCTGCACACTGTGCTGGAGCCGGCATTGAACTCGGGCTCAGGCATTACTGAGGAAACTGCACGTGGGTGGGTCATTGTTCTGCCGTCTCAGTTCCTAATGAGCAGAAAAATCTGAGGGTGAAGCAACAAAAAGGGGACGCGCCCATCGACTTCCCTTATGTCCTGCTAAATCCTGCTGGAGACTCAGCGCGCTTCACCCTGAAATCTGTCTCTGAGGCGGGGGAGTCCCTCTGGAATCTAAACCCCGCCTGTCGGAAGAGATGAATTCGAACCAGCATTACTCATGTGGGAATTCTCCAGACACAGGCCCTGCCCGGCCCAGCTCCATTCTGTAGAACATCAGCCCTTGGCTAGGATGTCTTGGAAGAGTGACCTTTAAGAGCATGCGTATTGGAAAGGGCCCTGGAAGGCTCGGGGATCAGAAAACAATGCCTGGCAGGAGGCAAGTGTGTGTGTGGGTGTGTGTGTGTGTGTGTGTGTGTGTGTGTGTGTGTGTGTGTGTGTTTTAAAGAACCCCGTCAAGACTGGTTTTTTTCCTCAAAAAAATCTTTTCCGAAAAAGCGACCAGAAGAGATTATGCAAATGAAGCGTGAGATTTGTAAATCAGCTTCATTTGCATTTGAGTTCCCTCATTTGCATTCCTCTTTCAAAAAAGTACTCTAGACACATCCTGAGAGTAGATCCGGAGTCCTATGTGCGTTTGCTCACTCTCCTCCTTGGTGTGAGGAGCGTTGGGCCGGCTGTAGACATGCCAGAGGTGCAGCACACGACGGGCCCCTCTGTCTCAGGTGCGCCTTAGTACATGGTGTTCTCACCTCTGAGACAAACAGTTCCCTTAAGCTGTTACCAGTGTTCCCTGTAAGCTGAGCACTTGGGTGACCACCCATACAGATTCAAATGTTGCCCAGTGGATTAGCAGAGTACCCACAGCCGGCACCATGTGTTTCTATTGGTGGTGCACATCTGCACGTCTTGGTGCATGGAACAAAATTTGTTCTGCACATACATGGAAAAAAAGTAGAGGGAACATTGGCTGTTACTAGTGTAACGTCCTTAGGCCAGATCTATAGTAGCCCTGGAAGGTCAGCTTACGGTGTACAACTCCAGCTAGGTAAATAATGT